TCGGGAGGTTCTGATTTCTGTGTGCAGATAGAACACAGATGTCATTAGAAACACTCTAGATTCACAACAGTAAATGAAATCAGAATTAGGCTCTGTGTATATTGAAGTCCCAGACTACTTGTTCATATGATTCAGTATGAAGGGTGCTGCTTTATGATAGGAATGGGTACTAGCTGCCTGATTAAATCCTTGACTGTTTTATTTGGAAATAGTCTTTCTTTATTAACTAGCATTTTTAGCTCTAATTCATAACTGTGGTAATTTTGTCTGTAGTGGCTTTTATCTGTGGGACTTTGAGGTTTATTGCTTTTTACCTTAAAAAAAAAAAAAAAAAAACCTCTTAGTTTCTTCTTCCTACTTGTGAACCCACACTCGGGAGAAATACAGTTGTTGTTAATGCAGTATTTAGAGTACAGCATTCTTTACTTCTGAGCTTTCTGAGATAGAAATCAAAAGTACAAGATCACAGTACAGAGGTGGGCCCCTTCCTTCTCCAACACCCCTCTCTGTGAAAATGGACATGCCCATAGTCTAAGAACAACTTAAAATATTTGCAAAAGAAGATTAATTTAAGCAATGCTGTTAGCTTTCCCGTTGATTCGCATTAATGTCTTAAGTGTCCTTGCTGTCATTTCTGTATGTGATACAATTTTTTTTCAGCATGAGGGAGGCCAGAAAATATACTATCTTGACTCCTGAAGTTCTGGTGCCAATTCCCCAGTAGCTGTAAAATAGTTTAGGAACCGTTTAGTTCAAATCAATTTAATTAGGAACCTGTTCCAGTATTAGAATTACTCCCAGTTAAACTTGACAACTATATTGCTGAAGTTACTGAAAGCCTGATTCAAGCAGAATCTCTGTCTCCTGAGGCTCTTACGTCTGCTGCAGTTCAATCCATGAGGTCCAAGATGTGTATGTTTACAGCTGAGCTCTAATTCTGCTTTGTTTATTGGTCTAAATATATTGCTCAATTCCCAGGATTTAGTAATAGTGTTTTAAAGTCTAAATTATCAACTGTACCAGGCTGTCCTGAGTTGTCTTACTGTTTTGTTTGGGGCAAGAGGGAGAGGAAGGGAAGAAAGAGATGAATTCTTCTTGTCTTACAGCCACTGTGGTGTACATTTATATTTTTTTTATTTTTTGAGCATGTGTGTGAATATAAATGTGTAACTTCATCATCTGGGAGTATCATCTTCTCTTTCCTTTCCCCATTCCATCTCTACGAGTTTTAATTGAATAGCCACATACACTACCGAAATCCCTTTGCCTGCTTTGGAGATCATCCAGTCTGACTGCCCTGTTTGATGCAGGGTCAGCTAGAGCGGGCTGTCCTGTCCACCCCGGAGAGGAGGATTCCCACTAAAAGCTTTTTCTTGATGTTCGAATGAATTTCCTTCTATTTCATTGCCTAACCTCCTTATGTAGGGCACCAAGAAGAGCCTCGCCTGTCTTCTTTACGCCCTCTGGCAGGTATGTGTAGGTGCCCTTGAGCTTTTTCTTCAGCAGTCTAAACAATCCCGGTCCTCAGTCTCTCACTGTAGGTATCCCATGTCTTTATGGCTCTTTACTGGACCAGCTCCAGTATGTTCACATCGCTTCTACTGGGGAGTCCAGCACTGCTGGTTTGGTGTCCCCAGTGTTGAGCAGAGGATCAGGGATCACCTCCCTTGACCGGGATTCTGCTGGCATTTTGCATAGACAGAGCCCAGAAGCATGTATTCTCTTGATGCTTATGCTGCTTTATTGAAGCTAGAGGCAGTTCATGTCTGCATCAAAAAAGAGAGTATAAACACCCACCAGTGTTGAATACCTTTTCAAAACCAGACAGTTATCTTTGAAATAACCACTATTGGGGGTGGGGGGAGAATGTTGGGATGTGTATGTCATTCTGTAATACAGGTCCTGTGGTATAATAGCTAGAAAACAAGACATTTTTAGTAATTATGGGCCAAAGCAAGTTTAAGATATGCAGTAAAATGCATGTATTGTTGTACTGAGAAAGTCTTGCAGCACATTTAAAAAAAAAAAAAAATCCCTTCTGCTGTGCTATTCAAGTAACAAGCAAACTTTGGCCTGTGCCATTTAATTGTAGTTCATGTTCATGGGGAACTGTAAAAAGTCTTTTTATTTATCTCCATTGTCTGTATCACATGCTGTTAATTAAAAAAATACTACTTGGGGTTTTTATCACACTTTTGAGTGTTACTGTATATACTAAAAACTAAATTAAAATAATATGGTTGGTACACTTGTTCTGAAATGAGAATTTATAGCAGCTCGAGTTGTGGAGGTGTGATTTGGTATTTTGGGCCTTCTTGGAAAGGCTTGAAGAGAGGTAGAAAATGCTTACATCTGTTATCTTAGGTGGGGAAAAATACTGAAATTAGCCTTATTTATGGAAATAGCTATGTGAGAGGTCTTAACTGCACATGGTGTTCACTGTTGCATACACTGAATAAGTGACTTAGTTCAGATATTGTCCCAAAGCTGTGAGAGGAGAGCAGGCAGTGTGGAAGCCTTTCAGCAGAATGGCAGCAAAGCCTCTCTGAAGTTGATCAGTTTTAATTTTGAGAACTATGAAGATATTTCATCACCAAAACTATATTTAAAAATAAAAACTAGGTTGCATTTTTGTATCTGTTGCTTACTTTTAAAAAGTGAGAAGCGTATTTCGGAAATTATACATTGACAAGTGTGAGAATGTGGGCTTGTAATAGAATTGCAAAAGTTCTGTGTTTTATTTTAGCCTTCAATGTCCAACAAACTGTTACTGTGGGAGGCATTTGAGTTCTCTTGCTGAGGATTTGACTTTTTGGAGGCATGAGGAATGCATCAGGATGCAATCAGGTCACCACTACGTGTCTTTGGTTCACTCAGTTATTTCAGAGCACAAATGGAGCTCTATATGGAGAGGCCTTTGTCAATAAAAGTGAAAGGCGGCCTGAGAGAGCATTTATCTCCCAGACTTCACCCAGTCTATTCTCAGCAAAACCTGATGTTGAAAGAGGTGCCTGACATCTGTTCTGTACTCCTCACGTATCCAATAACTGACTGAGGTGGCAGAATATAAAGAAGTGCTGTCTTTCTCTGATCAGTGGTGTTGTCTGCTGGGTGCAAACCTTAAGGGATGCCCTGAAACCCATATGCTCCACAGCTCCCTTGCTTTCTCTGTGAAATGTGAGTCAGGTTGGGGCCTTCCAGAAAGGAAAGAACAAGTCCTCCTACAAGGAGCTAAGATGCCTAGATTTGTCACCTCTTGGCTGCACAACAAGATATTCTAGCTCAGCAGCTTGCAAGCTCAAAGCTGAAGTGCCTCCCATCCCAACAGCAGTCTGCCTCTGCTGCCACAGGTAGGTAAAAGTTACCATGTGCTATGTGTTTAATTAAACACTTTACCCCATTCTTACTTCGGCTGATTGAAAAGAACATGACCTGTGTTGCCTGTTTAAACCAGGAGGTTACTTCCACCTGGGCTTCCTTCTGTTTCCAGTTAGAGCAAGTTCAGCATGATTAAATCTGACCCTGATCTGTTTGAAGATCTCAGGAATGTGGCAGTTTCAAAAGCGAGATGAATTTTCTTTCTAAAGCATTGATGAAACCTTTTGGTGCCTACAGCTTTGAACTGTATCTATGACTTCAAAGGCGATCCTCACGTTTTGTTCTTTCATTGTCTTGCCTTTTTAGTTGTGTGGTTGGGCTGTGCTGTTCTTTGTGGAAGAGAAATTCAGCCAAAACACAAAGAATACATTGTGCTTTATGTGAAAGTGGCTTGGCTACCATGATTGTGTCTCACTGAGGACTGGATTAAAAGAAAAGGGCTGGGTGGGTTTGGTTTTCTTGGTTTTTGTTTTGTTTGGGTTTGGTGTTTTTTTTTTTATTTTGGAGGAGGGGTTGGTTTCGGATTGTGTTGCTGCCCTCCACTGGGCACTAGGGAAAGTGTTTTTTTTTTTCATATTCACGGTATTTACGTAGGAAACTTTGCCATGAACAGAAATATGTGAGCGTCCACCCAACTGGATGGCTGTAGCTAATTTATGGGGACTTCATCCAAACCAGTCTTGGAGGAAACCCAGGCTCCTATAACTGAGATAAACAGTGCAGAACAAACCAGACAGTGATGCTAAAATCTTGTTTGATTGGTAATTCTCAAGAGCAGAGAGATGAATCGCGTTATTTTCTGAGCCCTCAGAAATGTGCTTTGAAAAGGACCACAGTGCTTGTATTCGTGCTGCTTGCCTTCATCGTGCGTGACCATATGGTAAAAGCACGGTTGGTAACCTAATCAGCTGCCCCTAGAGCTCTGTCTGGGAAGTCAGAAAAGGCTGAAGGTAGGATTTTATAAACTAAGCCCAGCACAACGACGCCAGCCTTTGGTGCGGAAGAACCGGCCCTCAGCCAGCCTCCAAAGCCGAGAAGCAGCTCCTCGTATAATAACGGGGCGGAGGAAAAGCCCCTCGCCACCCCCCCGCCCGACCGCTGTAGCGGAGCCGGGAGGCGGCCTCCTCTCCGCACCGCGCCCTCCAGGGGGCGCCGCGATGGCGGCCGCCGCTCGGCCCGCCCCGCCCCTTCCCCCGCGGGGTGCGCCGCGTCCGGAGGCGGCTGCGGTGCGGGCTGGGCGCGGAGAGGAAGGTGAGTCCCGGCGGCGAGGCACGGGAGGGGCGGCCGCGGCGTCGCCCGGAGCCCTGGGGATCGGCGTGGCACCCGCGGGCGCCCGCCTCCCTCCGGCCGTTCGCCGCGCGGGGCCGCTCAACGCCTTCTCCCGCCCGCCCCCATTTTAAGCCCTGTCCCCGGCGCCATTTGAAGTGCGAAGCCGCGGCTCGGTGCCTCCTCGCCTCCCCCCTCCGTCGGCCGCATCCCGCCGGCCGCAGCCGTGACTCACGCTCGGTCCCGCGCTCCCGGTGCCGGCTGGTGGCTGGGCCCTCCCTCACGGAGCCCGCGCTGCTGCCTCGCTCTGCCCCCGCCCCTCCGGTCCCGCTAGGCCGCGGCTCGGGGAGGGGCGGCGGGGCTGGCGGCCTCGCCCTGCCGCGGTCTCGGTGCGTTGTGGGCTCTTCCCTCTCGACCGAAGCGATGGCGGCGTTCGATGCCTCCGATACAGCACTGAAGCGGTTCGCCCTGAGGTTGGCCCGTTACAATAAAGCCGTGCTTCGTACCGATTGTTCTATCTCACGAGAACGTCGGTAACGTGATAGGAGATGTGGTTTTTTTCTCTCGGTTCTGAAGCTGGGCCTGTGAGCGCCCTAATGCTGCGGAACGCCTCGGGTTCCGTTTGCAGCACTGCAGTTCTTTGGGCCGATGCATCAGCCCAGCCGGTTTGGTGTCATCTCCTTTCCCTTCGGGAGCCGCAGACAAAGGACAGCCCAGGCTGTGCGCTCAGCAGCGCTGATGCTCCCAACCGAGCACTGCTTTCGACTCCATGTGGTATTTTTCAGCCTTACAGTTAGTAATAGTTGTGTGTTTGTTTCTGATGTGATTATCTGGGGGACTGTTTCTTCTTTATTTTATGATTAGACTATATTAAATGCTGTCCTTCTGCAGATGAAGGCCTCGTGCTGCTGTACTTGCTGTACCTGGGTGCAGTGCAGCTGTCAGCCTCCGAGCTGCTCTGCTTGCTGACGCTGAAAAGTGTGGGATTTTGGTAAGATGGCATCACTTCTGTTTTAATTTCCAGCCTGAAAGTCTCTGAAGGTCACTGCCCCAGGGTATCTAATCTCTGACAGAAGGCAGCATGCAGGAGAGCTGCTTGTAACATACTATGCAGCAGCTGCAGTCTGTATGGTGAGCCTTCTTACTCCTGGGGCAGGAATACAGAACTATTTGTTATTTGTGTGCTTTTAATATTTTCTTAATTGTAACAGAATAAATAGGGGGATGTAAGAAAAACTCTTTGTGTGGTGTTTGGGGTTTCAGAATACTTGTATTGTTTCATGAAAAGTATAAGCTGATAAATACAAGTTTAGCCAATTTTTGAATGTTTTCATTTTATGATTAACATAGACTGTTCAAAATGAATGAGCATCCTAAGAAGAGGAAACGGAAGACACAGCACCCTTCTCGATATTCAGGTCAGCCTAGAGCTCCAATTCATTTAATTTTTCTCAGAATAATAGCCTTGTTATGTTTGTACCTGGAAAATAAGTAACATACAAGAGGTGGGTTAAGATGCCTTCTACTGAACATGCAGGGTGCCCACCATGTGTGCTCTGTTCTTAGGCCACTTTCAGTCTGTGCATCTGAGCAGGTTTGTTCTCTACTCCCTGCGTGTTGGAAAGCTTGCACAGACCATGAAGTGGAGATGATTCTACTGACAAACAAGGGGAAAAATTCCCTGGAAGTTGGGATTAAGGGGTCAGTAAGCATTGCAGTCCATAAGCATTCAGCACTGCGTTAGCTGTGCTCCTTTTACTGTTTCAGAGGAAGAAGTTCAGCAACGACCGTATGTGATGCTCTGAACACTGGGACAGCAGCAGAAAGCTATAAATCAGAACAGGAACTTTAGCAGACCAGCACAGAGTTCTCATAAAGCAAGAAGTAAAAACGTAGCCAGTGAGAATTTTAGTGCACAATGAATCCATATGTAGCTACATCAGTTTGTTAGTGTTAATCTTTTTTTTTTCTATTTTTTTTTTGTCATACAGATTCTTCAGGTGCCCCTAAATATATAGACAATAGTGGGATTTTTTCTGACCACTGCTACAGTGTTTGTTCTATGAAACAACCAGACATAAAGTATTCTGAAAACAGAGGTAAGAGTGCATTTTGGGGTCTTGCTATGTAATGCTTGACTAAGTGTGTTGTGCTCTGATTTGTAGAAATAAATAGAAAACAAAACAGATAGTGGTTGTCTCCTGAGTATTGTTCTGATTTGATGTCCCTTAGACTGAATGTTATATCAATTACATTAAGTAAAAAAATCCTTCTTTTATCTTTGCAGGTAGATACCATAGTCCGGTGCAGGGCATAGACACAGATGATGATGGGAGTCCAGTGCATGCTGGGACTTCTCAGTGGAGTGGGTCACATTCAAACGTAGGGTTGCACTATACAGACCCTAAAAAGAAGGATAAAGGTAAGTGTGCATTTGCAGCTTACATACTGGGAGGCTGGAAGCCACGTATACTGGTGTTTAATGTAACAAGTGCTTTACTTTCCTGGTTTGACAGAAGAGATCAAGGTTTTTTAGCTTACATTATTTATTTGTTAGTTGTAGTCTCAGTGCCTGAATGATAATATTTGCTTTTTGCACTTATAGGCTTCTACAACCAACTAAATACACACCTAGCTTCTTTGCAGGGTTGTTTGTTTTTGTTTTATTTTGTTTTTTAAACTGACCTTTATTATCTACTTGCTCCTACAGATAAAGCTGCTAATAATGGAATGTGCAAAGACATATGTGACTCACCTATATTCAGTGACAGCCCTACAGAAGAAGAAAAACCTCTTGATATTCAAACCGTAGAAATTTCTACAACAGAAGTTAATGCTGTAGAAGTCCATGATATAGAAACACAAACTGTGTCACCTGAGAAGCTAGAAGCTGAGGACCTAGAGGAGATCCCTCTTGAAACCTGTAAAATCTTTGAGAAGAACCAGGCTTTGAATATCACAGCTCAGCAGAAATGGCCTTTGCTGAGAGCCAACAGCAGCGGCCTGTACAAGTGTGAGCTCTGTGAGTTTAACAGCAAGTACTTCTCTGATTTAAAGCAGCACATGATCCTGAAGCATAAGACGTGTGCGGACACTCATGTCTGTAAAGTTTGTAAAGAAAACTTCTCCAGCAAAGTGCAGCTCATTGAACATGTGAAACTGCACGAGGAGGACCCATACATCTGTAAATACTGTGATTACAAAACGGTGATATTTGAGAATCTGAGTCAGCACATAGCAGACACTCACTTCAATGACCACCTTTATTGGTGCGAGCAGTGCGATATGCAGTTCTCCTCCAGCAGCGAGCTGTACCTGCACTTCCAGGAGCACAGCTGTGACGAGCAGTATTTGTGTCAATTCTGTGAGCATGAAACAAACGATCCAGAAGATCTGCACAGCCACGTGGTGAATGAACACGCGTGCCGACTGATAGAGCTCAGCGACAGCTATCATAACAAGGAGCGTGGACAGTACAGCCTCATAAACAAAATCAGTTTTGACAAATGCAAAAACTTCTTTGTATGCCAAGTGTGTGGCTTTAGGAGCAGGCTGCATACAAACGTCAACAGGCACGTAGCTATTGAACACACCAAAATATTCCCTCATGTTTGTGATGACTGTGGAAAGGGCTTTTCAGGTATGTTGGAGTATTGCAAGCATTTAAGCTCTCATTTATCTGAAGGGATTTATTTGTGTCAGTACTGTGAGTATTCAACAGGACAGATTGAAGACCTTAAAACCCATTTGGATTTCAGGCATTCCACAGACTTGCCACATAAATGTACTGATTGTTTAATGAGATTTGGAAATGAAAAAGATCTTCTAAGTCATCTTCAGATACATGAGACAGCTTGATTATTTTCTTTCCCTGCAATAAGCTTGTTAGGATTGGAATTAAAAACACGATATTAAATACAGTTTTAATAGCACTTGTACAATTATAATGTTTTTATGTCAACGAAGCATGTGTAATGGCTTGGTGTTAGGAATTTCCTTTCCTAGGAGCTTCCGTAGGTATAATCACACGTACAGTGGGATGGATCGCATTCTGGGGGGAGGGACAGGGAATAGTTGCATGTCGTAATAGTTCCAACTGTTATCCCACACTTTCACATGAAAGGTACAACAGCAGCTCTTTGGAGTTTGATATGACAGAGGGAAAGCCAGCTTCTCCGTCCATGCTGAAGTAATACCATACTGATCTCAGCTGCATCTCCTACTCATGTTATCCTCCACAGCAGCAGGGCACTGCTCGCTTTTAGAAAATGGCACCAGCTTGCTGAAGATAACTGCGTTCCAAAAATTCCTGAGCATGAGAATGTCAAAATTCATATGTCAGCCTGTATTGACCACCTTGTATTCTTGATAAGCTTTTAAAATTGGTGCGTCTTTCTCTCAAGGTTACCTATCCTACCTCATCGTTTGTTTGAGTCTTTGGTCAGTGTTCAACTTCAAATCCTGTCCCAACAATGCTTTCATCCACACATTTAATAGGGACTGCCAACATCACTTCCATTTCTTTTATTTACCTTCAGTTGCTGTCTTTGTTTTGATGCACAAAGGAGACATATGTACTGCTTGTGTGCAGTCTGGGTTGGGTTTTAAGCGGCAATTCTAAGGGGATGTGTGAAGTGATCCAGCTGAGAATATATAGTGTAACTTTCATATTTAAAATCTTAGTTTAGCTCTGAAATATGTCACCAACCTCATTTGGAGAAAGCCTCTGTAAGTAAACTAGTTCATAATTATTCTGTAGATTTATAATTAGCTTTCTATGACTAGTAATTTGAGGGAAGTGATTTTAAATCTGTATGTGATAAATGTACTGGTTCAAACACTGGTATGGTTTAAAAAAAATAATCATTTAAAAGTGGTTTAGTACAGCTATTCTGATTAGATAGATAGTGTTCTTTGGGCATTACAATCTTACTAAGTGAATTTTTAAGCTTCAGTCCATAGCTGTGTTTCTCAGTGACTGATAGTTGTACAGTAATTAAGGGTGAGATCATTTAGACTGTTTAGCTATCAGGGTGAAGTAATCCATAAAATGGTGGAGTTTGTTTCTGTACTGATTGTAAATTTGTAAGATTGTCTAATGTAAGTATTATATAGGCATAATTAATGTATAAAACATTTCCTGATTGGTGAGACTTAGTGTTATCAGCTCCCAAGTGTGCAAGGGACTTAGCACTGGAGTTTTACAGCTATAAACATTGGCTGAATATAGTGAGTTTATGGAATTTCTGATGTCTAGAGAAGTATTTCCAGAACATCTGAAAAGGAGCCATTTAATACTGGTTTAGCAGGAGGCAGGACTTATTTTTGTTGTATTGAAATGCTGGTTTAGTACCAAATCTTACATGTAATCTTTGAAAAGGACAACCCAATCATATCCTGATTGTATTTTTTTTTTTTAGTTTGTTGTATAGGGAATGGCAATGTCTGCACTAGTATCACTAATTTCATATTGCCTGGCTTAATATGGTAGTAATAATGTAGGTTATGGAGTACTAATAAGAATTGTTCTATATGTGGAAGGCTGATTTTGCTCATATGGGTATAACAGAGTGGAGGGGGGGGGGATGCTTGAGCTTCTCTTCCACCCTGCTCTTGGTGACTCAGGATTCCAGAGTGGCTTCCTGTTGACATATGTCAATTTCTAATCTTTAAAATGGGGATTAAAAGAATATGCTATAGGAGTGGTATGAAAGCAAATTCTAATCTAAAATGCACACCACAGTGTCTGGATAAGAAATACATTCAGGTTTTACTTAGATAGGATTTCACAAATACAGCAGTGCGGTGTTAGAAAGTAAATGGAAAGTAATTAGAAAGTAAATGGAAATGTATGTGACCAGTTGGTCTCATCTCACCACAGAGGGAGCAGAAATAAGTTACTTAGGCTTATTTTAGGCATGACCAGCCTGCCTAAACAAGAAAGGTATGTAGTGGAAGAAAAAATAGGTCATGAGTGGAACGTGTTTAGAAATTGGAGTGCTGGAAGGAATGACTGTATGTGTGGGGACAGCCTGTTGTTCCCCGGGAGGGCACTGTGCAGTCACTGGGAATTCAGGGCTGGGTGGAAAGCCAGGCTGAGCTCGGAGCATGCCTAGTGCTGCTGGGCCCTGAATTCATCTTTAGCATTAATTGATCAGTCCTGGGTTACAGCTATCAACTGCAGTGATCAGGAGTTTTTCGGTAAGCCTTTCCATTTCAGCTGTTTCTTGCAGGGCTCCTCTGCTGCAGTGACAAGAAGCTCTGCTCAATCTCAGGGTCGCTTTGGGAAGTGGTTCACTTAGTGTTTAGGCATCTGAGCCTATGGCTTATAATATCGGCATCGAGTACCACAGCTTCTGGGAGCACAATGGCTACCAAATGAGAGAATGTCTTTATATGGAAGAATTAAGATTAAAATCCCATTTCTTAGTGCAAGAACCCGCAGCACAGAGCCCTACTGCTTCTCTACTCTCTCCCCAGTGCTTATGGATTGCCACAGTCCTTTGTGCTGCCTTTCTCCTCCTGTTTCATGCAGAAGTCCCAAACGTACAAGCGACGGGTGCTTATGAAGCCCACAAGCGTTCGTCACCTCAGCTACCGGCGTCTGACTGAAGGGCGGTGCTGCCGGCACGCAGCCCTGCCTCCCGCGCTTTCCTTGGGCTTCCCGAGGGCTGTGAGGGGTTACGGGATGGCCTGGGCTGGAGACAGCTTTCATGTGCAGATGTTCCCGCTGGCACTGGGCTGCACCTAAACTGCTGTCTGGGGAAGAAGCTATGGCAAAAAATATATATCTATTTTAAAAATTAACCATAGCCCTGGCAGTTGTAAAGGGCAGAGAGGGGCTACTTCCCCTCAGCGCCCCGTCTCCATTTCACACGCGGCCGTCCCCTCCGCCCTCCTTGCAGATGGCGGCCGCCGCCCCGCGACCCCTCACTAAACATGGCGGCCGCCGCTCCGTCCCGCGGGCGGAGCCGGGAGGTGGAGGGGGAGGAGGCGGAAGTGGAAGTGGCGTCAGTGTGCGGCCCGGCGGCGGGGCAGGAGGCGGCGGCGGCGGCAGCGCGGTGCCCCGCCGGCGGCGCGGCGGTTGCCTGGTAACGGCGGGGCCTGAGGAGGAACGGGGGCCTCGGCCCGCAGCGCTATCCGACCTGCGGGGCTGCGCGGGGAGCTGCGGCCTGGCCTCGTTTGGCCCCGTCCGTGATGCCCGGGCCTGGCCGAGGGAGAAGGCTGTGACCTCCGGGCGGGAGCGGGGTTAAATGGAGGACTGGGGGTGAGGCGTGCTTGGGAACGAGCCGTACGGAGCCGTACGAAATCGGTGCTGAAGCTGTGCTTTGTGAGCAGCTGTCAGCGTGAGTGGTGGGGAGGGTGAAGGGTTTGCCAGCATAACGCCTTACTTCCATCGGTTATGTTGTTGTTTATTTTAATTACCTGAGAGCTGATTTGTTTTAATTACCCAGTGTGCTGAGAGCACGTTGATTTTCACTGACGCTGGCTCTCTGCGTGTTTCGGTCACTTCGTGCAACTTTCCTCACAGTTACATAATGGCAGAAGCCGCCGTGTCCCCGTTGAAGCACTTCGTGCTGGCCAAAAAGACCATCACTGCCATCTTTGAGCAGCTGCTGGACTACGTCACTGAGGGGGCTGCTTTTGTGGAAGGTCAGTTTTTGACTTGATGTAAGGCCTGATCCATTGCTTTGAAGTGACTTCGTGGTAGTGCAGCATGTGTTATGGTACACATCTGTGTGCTGCTTGTGTGAATGTATGCCTTCAGACATCGCTGTGCTTTTTGCTTGAGGAAAGTGAAATGCTGTGCTAGTAGCCATACCTGGGATGGTTGTGCCTAATAATAGCTGGCTGCATCGTGTGGCATTGGCTGCTTTCTGTGATGGTGGAAGCTGAGCTACCTCATTTGGGTTGGGGCCACTTACAGCCCCGTTTCAGTTCATTGCACAAAGAAAAGTATTGACACGCTCTGCTACCTGTTAAGCAGGTTGATCTGTCTGATAGGAAAGTGGATCATAAAGATATGATGTAAAAAACCTGTGGTTACAACACCACAGGTTTCAGCAGTGTGGAGATGCACGTTGCCACACAGCTTGGTTGCTCATCACTCCACTGAGCTCTGTGCTGAGAGGGCAGCCCAGCCTGGCTCTGGTGTCCATGGCAGTCCTTGTTTGGCTTTCTGAAGGAGGCAGTGTCACAAAGGCCGGGCAGTAAGCCCGTGGATGCAGCCTGGTGTGCTGGAGAGGGCCGTTCATATTCTGAGATCTCTGCATTCTCTTTAAACATAGATCGTTTTTAACTTTAGTAGTGAGTTTGTTGATTCATCTGTAGTGATTTAACATGATTTCCCGAGTGCTCTGTGGAACTCTCAAATGATGGGCTCACATCATGGAGTTATTTTTGCTTTCCTACTGCTGCATAATTAAAATTTAGACATATCTTTGTCATGCGAAGTATTGATAATGTAGGTCTTGTATCCCGGAGTGTGCATTCTGTATGTGATAGCTTTTGTTGTTTTTTTTTTCTATGTGTAGCAACATACAGGAACCCAGAGCTTGAACATATAGCAACAGAAGATGAATTAGCAGAAATACAGGCATATAAAAAGAAGTTAGCAGTCATCGGTGAAGTGCTTTCACGGAGACACATGAAAGTGGCATTTTTTGGCAGGTAATGAATGAATTTGATCTCTTTCAGAACTTAACATCCGTGTTTGTAACTTACCTGCACCAGAATTAGTTCATTATGTGATTATTCTTTGAACGTGCTCACTCCTCCCCTAATGGGTGCTAAACATTTCTGTGACACCATCTTGTTCTATTTGTGTAGTTTAATTATGTATGTCTTGCTACATATTTTTATGGGTAGGTTACATAAAATGTTTTTTTTTGTGTAGGTCTATTATTTGACTTAGGAAGATGAGAGTTAGTTGCCTTCTCCTGAATGTTCTGTTTGTTTAACTTGGTGGCTTTGTTTGTTCAGAGTGTTTGTTGTACTGAACTACTGTTTTTAAGAACTTCTGTTGGTGTGTATTGTAAGTGCTGAAAAACAAAAATTGGAGCTGTTCATTTCCACATATAAGCAACTGAAGAAAAATAGGCAGTGTTAGAGGCCCTTGCTGTGCTGGTTGTGCCATTAGTTCCATAGGTCTGCGTGGTGCTTATTAGGGAAAATAGTAACAATGCATTACATGGCTTGCAGATAAATCTGAACACGACATGAATTTCTGCTGCCCTGGAATCCCTTAACAAGGAAAAATCTGAATTCACTGTCTTTTTACAGAATGAGTATCAAATACTTTGCATATTTAGTTTGGTGGCCCTGCTAGGCAGGGGGGTTGGAACTACATGATCCTTGGGGTCCCTTCCAACCCGGGTGATTCTGTGATTCTGTGATAGTTAGCGTTTTCAAAGTTATAGATTATTTAAATGGTTACGTGTATTTTCTGGAATATGACTTTTTTTAATTGAAAAAATTGTGCTGGTATTGAAAAAAGTACATACAGCACTGAGTGTTGTATGTGGCTGCACTCACTCTGCTAGCAGTTGCTCCATTATTTAAAGAAAAAAGATGAGAGGAGCTGGGATAAGTAAACTGTATCTGAACCTTGGCATTTCATGAAGTTAAAAGCTGAATGCATTTACTAGCTGTGCTACATGGTGAATGTTGCTTTTGTAAGTTCAGTGCAGGAGATGATGAATTAAACCTTAACCTGAACTCTCCCTCTGACGTTCTGAATGAATTTGTTAAGTATTGTGTAGTGAGTCCTGAACCTTCTGCTAGAGGAAGTAGCTCAGTTAACAAATTACAGCCCGTGTTTACTTCACGCCATTGTGTAAGAGTTAAGTCTCAAATCTTACTGGGTGAGGGTTACTGCAGAATGGGGCATTGCTGAGAACTTCACGTCCTTGTGGAGGTGCTGAGTTGGTGAGCAGTTGCATTGAGTCAAGAGAACACTGATTTAATTGAGCTACTTTTTCTTTCTGAAATAAGGACAAGACTAAGTTCCATGATTAAAAACAGCATTTGCATTATAAGGATTGCATGCAAGAAATAAATTTGATTATCTTTTTGCACACCGCTTTACATCTTCCTTTGGAGATGTTGATTAAGTTGAGATTATTGTTGATTAAATTGTTTGGAGTTGGCTG